CTGCGTGTGTGATCCTGTAGGCTCATTCGACATAGCAGTATCACCCGAAATCCTTATTTCGGTTACACAAGTCATAGGCGGTCTCTAGCAAGACACTTGACTACCTATCTCGAATAGAGTTTGTTCGTGATCTTACGAACGTCAGTGATGGTTCCGGTTGATGATCCTTTTGTATCATGATATCATATGTCGAACATAAGGCATGGACAAGCCACCTTATCTGATTCGACTGCTTTCTCGTTCACTGAGTTCGACTGTCTGAAATAGACGACGTTCGTCTATAGTGCGGTCACACATTTCTACAGTCTCGCTCACACGGGGGGCCCAGCGATATCTCTCTCTTTTATGAGAGGTACAAATCCCATCTTGACTATCTATAATCCAGTACATGATTTGTTTCGTACCTGATTCACGCCTTTATAGTCCTCCTGTTATGCAGGACGTTTGACGTATTCAAGGCACGCAATTCCTCATGTTGGATTCCGTAGATATCTCAGGTCTTAGGATCCAATCATGGAACCGCCATATGAGATTCAAGTCATGACGCTAGTCCATGTGACAATCTCATGCGGGTCAATCCAGTATTCCGTTCTCCAACGAATACCTACGATTGTGATCGTATCCAATACCTATGATCATCTATGTGATCATCAATCACACATCATACTAGTCTTATTATGTCGTTATTCCCATAACGACACAAGACTAGGGAGTTTAGTATCATTCATAATGATACATGGATTTCATAACAGATCTAGCATGCAAGAACATGTAATGAATCAAATACTCTCATAAAACATAGAAAGTATCAATACATCGAATGTATCTGAACAAAGCTCATAAACAGTACATTATAGAGCACTAAACCAACATTCACCAAACCTTTCAAATTAATTGAGTAAAAAGTATAGTTCTCAAAAAAAAAAAAATTGAGAAAACTATCATATATAAATTTATGTTTCTCATATTATCATAATTAAAAAATACTTTTTGTTTATCGGAAATTATGGTCAATCTGACACCATCATTAAATCACAATCTATTTTAAGCTTTGTGACGACCCCATTCCTATTTCTCTCTATTTTCTATTTGTACGACAACCCACACAATCGAAAAAATCTTATTATCTCCATCTCTACTATATGATTCTAGTAATTGCATTTTTATATCTCATTTCAAGAAACGACCATCTAATCCAACAATAAATCGGCAATTTTGCAACCACGAGCTTCGTAAGGCTTCAAAACATACATACAATCGACGAAAACGTTGTTCACCAATTGGTAGTTATAGTACCGTCTCAATTTCTATAGTTGATCTCGGATTAGAATTTTGAATTTCCAACGTTCCCAAAGCCTCGAAAATTACCATTTGGTATTCGTCTTTGATTCTAGTTATCATTTCTTTCGGTTTTAAACTTGGATTTCTCCTTAGCTTTCCTTGAAAAAGAAATGCTATTGTTGAAGTTTCCAACATCTTCGTTACATGACTGATGAAATATAATATCTCCAAACAAAGATTTCATATTTGTATCTGTAACCTCTGCATTGATGAAATCTCTATCCATGTCATCATTTTCTTCATTACTAAATCACTTTCATCACTCACATCATCATCACTTTCTCCATTATATTCATCAACGAAGAAAGAACATGATTGGTAACTTCACCAATATCACTGAAACTATAGAGGAAAACGATCAAATTACAACCGCAATTTATCAACCACATACACATACAAAAAGATACATATTTTGGATTTGTTGTAGACTTTTTGCAGAAAATTCATATTTTGAAACCCTAAAAAAATTAGATTACTTGCAGATAATGATTCAAATAGAATACAAGATGAATTTGAATTACCTTAAATCTAAATTGTGCGGACCTCTTCAAATAAGAAGCTTTTGTCGATTTGTCATTTTTGTTTCTGGATTTGTATACAAATGGGTTGACAAAAGAATTTGTTAAAAGAAATCTATTCGAAATGAAATTTAGGTTTAGTATTGATTTATGAAAGGAATTTAGTCGGAGAAAAACTCTTGCTGTGGAATAGGTAGAAAGATGCGTAGAAAGTCTAGTTTCTATAATTTAGAATTAGAGTTTTTTTATTATAAAAAGTTAAAATAAAAAAAGTTAAAATATCATAATTACAATTATAAATATATTTTTTAATCAAAGTTAAAAATGGACAAATTTAAAAAGGTGAGTGGATTTTTAGACGATTTTTTAGAAAATAATGGTTTTTTTGGTTTTATAAGTAGTTGAAGTTTTAATTGGATCTCCTTTTTTATAAGTTTAGGGTATTTTTTGGTTTTGTTTACTATAGGATTCATTTTAGTTGTTATCATACTTTTTTTTAACCAAATTATGATTTTATCTTTTTGGATGAAAATGAATATAAACAGACATAAGAAAACATAAACTTACAAATTCAAACCACATAAATATTTATATGAAATATTTCATTTATATTTTTTCTATTTTCTTGTTTTTTTACTACGACAAAAAAATGATATGTATTCTTACAACTAAAATTTTAATACAAACTTGTATAGGAACAGGTTTCACATAGTCATACGAACAAATTAAATCCACAAGAATACCATAAAAGAGTTTGCCGCTTGCATTGCATACACAAAGCCACAAAGGTGGTTTTTACAAAATCTTAGAATTGAAAATTTAAAAAACCCTAATTGTGACCAGGAAATTTGCCATCCGTACCCTCCCTTTGACCCAGAAGGTTTGCTGTATATATATATATATATATATGTATACACTTACATACATAACTACATTTCACATATATACATGCGTGTATATGCATCCACATATATACACTCTCTCCTCTCTCTATTCTCTTTGTTGCTCGAGCATCGCGTTTAACCTCTTTGGCTGCCAAACCATTGGTATCTCATACACGAGGAAGGGAGAGAGCGACATATCGTAATTTTTCTTTTTTAGCTTTTGATTTTGTTTTCTTCCGGTGGCTACAAGAGCGAAGCTTTCTCTGTGGAGATTCTTCTCTCTTTCTCCGGTGAACACTCCGGCGCCTCTCCTATCTTCTCCGGCGAAAACTCCTCCTTGTCGCGTTTTATTTCATTCTGAAAAAACTGTGAAGTTCGCTTTGGATCGTCGAGTAATGTGATCCGGTCTACAAGGTTCGAAGATTCAAACTCTCTTCTTCTGTTGTTTTCTCGTTCGTTTCCTTTATTTTTTTTTTCGATTTTCTTGGTGTTAGATCTGGGATTTGTTTGTTCAGTTGTAAATTTCGTTAAAATTTTAGTAACTTTTTTGGACCCTCGATGATTCTCAGGGTTCCGAGCTTATTTTGCTGCCGAAGACAGAATTTTTCTTTTCCGGGAAATAAAAGGGTAAGGACGATGAAGAGAGGTAGAGACGAGGTTTACATGGCAGCAAAGATTCCGAGGCCTGCGGTTTCATCTCGAGGAGAAACGTAAGCTTCTCTTTTATGCTCTTTGGCTTGTGTCCGATTTCTCCTGTGTCGGAAACCGAAAAAGGAAAAAAAGAAATTTCTCCTTTCAATATGGTTGAATTTACTGGCATGTGTAGAATTGTTCAGCTGTTTTGAACCTTGAAGGAGGTAGTGCATTTTAGTGGGTTTTCTTTATAAGTTAAGCATAATTTACTTGGTGTTGGATGTGTGTAGAATTAGCATAGTGATTCTGAGATTGTTGGTTGATAAGGGGGCAATAGTTTGATTTCCAGTACCCATGCAAGCACTAAATGTTCAGAAGAACTTAATGTATGTTAGAGCAATGCAGCAATGGGCAGCCTCAGACAATGGGTGGGGCAGGAGGAAATATGGGAAAGCTGACTACAAGTGATGCTCTATCGTATCTCAAAGCTGTTAAGGACAAGTTTCATGACAAGAAAGAGAAATACGACACCTTTCTCGAAGTCATGAAGGACTTCAAAGCACAAAGGTGTGTTTTTGCACTCTTCCTTCTATAGTTTCTCGGTATTTGTTGTGGATGTGTAAATTCATGATATCTTATGTTGGTTGTAGGATTGACACTCATGGTGTTATAGCAAGAGTGAAGGATTTGTTCAAGGGTTATCAGGAACTGCTTTTAGGTTTTAATACCTTCTTGCCCAAGGGTTATGAAATAACCCTTCCGCTTGATGATGAACGACGTAAGAAACCGGCAGATTTTGGAGAAGCTATTAATTTTGTTACCAAGATCAAGGTACATACATATGTCATATTTGATGTTGTAGATGAAGTGTGAAGGACCTTGACTTTTATGTCATAATATCACATTATCACTTGACCTTTACTCCTGCAGGCAAGGTTCCAAGATGATGACCGTTCATATAAATCATTTCTAGACATCTTGAACCTGTATAGAAAGGAAAGCAAGTCCATTTCTGAGGTCTATCAAGAGGTTGTTTATTGTAAATTCAGAGATTTTGATTTACTCAGCCTTTCTGCCTCACAAAATCTTTTGGTGGAACCATCTTATTGATAAGTTTCTCTGATTATAATATTTTATGTAGGTTACCATATTATTCCAGGACCATGAAGATCTGCTTGAGGAGTTTGCGCATTTTTTACCCGATTCTTCAGGATCTACTTCTACTTTATTTTCTCTTTCTGGAAGGAATGCAGCACCGCGTGATCAGAGTTCTGCTATGCCCACCATGCATCAAAATCATTATGATAAGGTTTCCCTTGTTTATCTTTCTAAAAGGCATTGGCATTTTTTACCTGTTAGTTAATATGATAATCATATTACGAATGTTCATTCTGGAAAGCTTGCATTGTCATGTACATCCTAAGTAGAAAACCCGTATTGACATCTTTGTGTAGACTGTGGTAGTGTTCTGATACCTTGAGGAAAAGAGAAATATAGGCATTATGATGCAACCAACAGCAGCACGATGCAAGAGAAAAGAAAGGTTGTAGGGAACTCGATGAATAAAAGTTCTGAGTGAGATGTTGATGCATACTTTAACATGCAGCAGAAAATAAGACCATTGCATAAGGTTGAAGATTATTCAGAACACTCTGATCAAGGAGAAGCAGGTGATGAGAACATTGTGGCGTGCTCGGGTAATTCTCTGGCAAGTAAGTAGTTGGATGTCCTATTTCATTTTTGTTCATAACACTCCTATGTTTCAACTTTGGGAATACCTGTCTTCTGTCGGTATCCAAATTACTTTGATGTAAAAGAATAATTGCTTTGTATATTTGAGCCTATCCTCATCTAGATCCTGGTCAGTCTGACCTCTGTTCATGTTTTAAGTGATTGGCTTTTGTTTGGATATATGGATCACTTTGTTCATATTTGCAGAATCCCATGTCAATGAAGGACAATGGTCTAGGACTTTGAAGGCTGACGACAATGGAGGGATTCAAGATTATGAAAATAATGGACACCAAGAAAGGGGTCTTGACAATGGGCATCAAGAAACTGAAAGAAGTGCAGCTTCTGGCAGTAAAGACATTGGAAGCCACAAAATTCCAATATCTACTAGCAAGCATGTGGCAAAACCAATAAATGAACTTGATCTCTCGGACTGTGCACAATGTACTCCCAGTTATAGGCTCTTGCCAGATACTGTGAGTGCCTCTTTCTTCTATATGATATTCTTCCACCGCATGACAATTTACTGTGGCATTATATTGCCATTCGACTCATATAATTGGTCCTTTTCTCGTGCAGTATCCCGTTCAGATTCCAAGCCACAGGAATGAAATTGGTGATGAGGTACTTAATGATCGTTGGGTATCTGTCACCTCAGGGAGTGAGGATTACTCGTTTAAACATATGCGGAAAAACCAGTATGAAGAAAGCCTCTTTCGATGTGAGGATGACAGGTAGAATCTTCTGTTTTAAATACAGATTGCGACGTTCATCTGTAAATTTAAACATACCCAGAATAATAGGTCTTATATTGTCATTCTAGTGTAAATTTTAACATCTTTGATCTCCTCTGTGTTTTATTGGTATGTGTTCCTGGTCATCTTACTTCTATCAAGTTGAGATTTTTCTTTCAAATTTCTCTTAGTGTTGAAGTTAAATTGTACGTGGAGATGGCGTTTCCTTTATGGTAACATAATTTTTGGGGGTTTTCAGCTTCAATAACATTGCCTAACGTGCTTTCAGGTTTGAGCTGGACATGTTGCTAGAGTCTGTCAATGCAGCCATCAAGCGCGTGGAAGCACTTATATTGAAGATCAATGACAACACAATCTCTACAGAGACTCCCATATGCATCAGAGAACATTTAACAGGTGAACTGTTACTCTTGAAGAACTGTAGTTATCATATGTCTATTCACCTTTTATTTAGACTAATGTCTTTCCACATGGCTGTATTTGTAGCTCTGAACCTGAGATGTATTGAGCGGTTATATGGTGACTACGGACTTGATGTCATGGACTTTTTAAAGAAGAACGCTCATGTTGCTTTGCCTGTGATACTAACTCGTTTGAAGCAGAAGCAAGAAGAATGGGCAAGGTGTCGTTTTGATTTCAGGAAAGTATGGGCTGACGTTTACGCTAAGAATCACCACAAATCTCTTGATCATCGTAGTTTCTATTTCAAGCAGCAGGATTCTAAGAATCTGAGTACAAAAGGTACGTTTTTGAGATCCCTGACCTTGAAGTACAAGTTCTCTGTGTGAAAGATCTTCAACCTATTTTTAAGTTTGATGATAACTATGGATGTTTGTTTAGCTCATCATGAAATTTTATCGGACATCGCATTCGCTAGCTATTACCAGTTTCTTTCTCTATCTTGAGTGAAGAAAACACTTGCTTAATTTTAGAGGCTTAATTATGCTCTTTGGAAAAGAGGATGAAGTATCGAATGTGCGAGAAGGTTGTCTGTGTTTCAAATTTGGGGGTGAGGATTCTGAGAGTGCATCAGCTAAAAGTTTTCTTATTTCCAGAGCTACTACATTCATTTCCTCAAATGCAGGTTTAGTGGCAGAGATAAAAGATATCAATGAGAAGAAGTATAAAGATGATCTGCTTCATACTTTTACAGCTGCGACTAAGTCTTCTCTTACTCCAGACCTGGAGTTCAGTTATTCTGATCCACAAATTCATGAAGACCTATATCAGCTAATCAATTATTACTGTGAGGAGATATGTGCTTCTGAACAGTCAGATAAAGTAATGAAAATATGGATAACATTCTTGGAGCCTATGTTTGGTATTCCTTCGAGGCCTCGAGTTAATGACAGTGTCACTGCTGCTGTCGAGTCAAAAGAACAAAACCTAGAAAGCCATGATCCATGTGCAAGGCTGAAGGAGGGTAACCTTCATGAAAGTTCTTCTGCGAAATATTCTAAACATTCAACATCTCCAAGGGAGTCAAACAAAGAAAGTCTAACACTGAAACAGGGCTATCTTGATCGAGATGTCATGGCCCCTATAGGAGAAGTTACTCAGCAAGATAAGGTTCAGAGTGATGCAGTTATGACTAATGAGGTACTTTTGTCACCTGCTCCTCTCCTTAGTGAGTTAATAATGTAGCCAAAGCATCTTCTAAATATGAAGTCATGGTGACATTGTTTACTAAAATGTAGTAAAATGAGATATAGCGTGTATGGATATCAAATTTGACCTTGATGGGGCAATCAAGATATAGTCAGTCCTACTAAGAAGTGACTATTATTTGTTCATGGTTCTTCAGGATGGCCAGTCTTCAAATCCGGTTTCCTCCAGAGATGATCCAATAACAGAAGGCCTAAAAAATCACAGGCTTAATGAAGCACCAGCGAGAGAGCACAAGGTTGAGCGGGAAGAGGGTGAATTATCTCCTGCTGATAGTTTTGAGCGCGACAGTTTTGAGGTTTATGGAGAGAGTAGTCTAGAGCCGATGCAGAAAGTAATTGACTATGCACAATGCAATAAATACCATCAAAGATTTGAAGTAGGTTCCGATGAGAACAACGGTATTACTCATAAGTCATCGGAAGATAATAAGAATGCAACTAAGTTGGTTGGCGAAGATTCTTCCCCTGAAGAGCATATAGTAGGTATGAACCGAGATGAACATGATAATGTGTGTGAAAGTGAAAACGAAGCTGTTGAGGGGACTAATTCCCATGACGGTGAAGATGACCCACCGTGCAAATTTTCAGATCGGTTTCTCAGACCTGTGAAGCCCCTTGCAAAACATGTTTCTACGGAATTGCAAGATAGTGAAAGCAACTCCCGAAGTGATTCTCAGTTATTTTATGCAAATGATTCCTTCTATGTGCTTTTTAGGCTTCATCAAGTGAGGACCACATGAAACTAAACACTCTTTGATTTCCCTAAGATGGTATTTGTCTTCAATCCTCATGACTTTCTGCTGTTTTTTTTCTTCAGATGTTGTACGAGAGAATACAATCAGCGAAGGTACACTCGGAAAAGAAATGGAAGGCCCCGGATAACACAACTCCTTCCGATGCTTATTCCAGGTGATTTATCTTTTAAAGTGGAGTGCTTTTGGAGTGAGAAGATTCAGAACTAAATTTTTGGACGCATAATATTTCTAGGTTCATGGATGCCCTCTATAGCTTACTCGACGGATCTAGCGATAATACGAAGTTTGAGGATGAATGCCGAACTATTATCGGATCTCAATCATATGTCCTTTTCACACTGGACAAACTTGTTCAGAAGTTTGTTAAGCATGTAAAGCTTCTGGATGTTCTTCCTTACCTTCCGGGTTATGTCCTCTCTTTACTCTCGCTTGGCCCTGCACCTTTTGCTTTTCTTTCCTGATCATCGGGTGATTGTTCTATGCGACAGCTTCATGCAGTTGCCACCGATGAGACAGACACCAAGCTTCTGCAGTTGTACACATACGAGAATTATAGAATGCCCGGGAGATTCTTTGATGTAGTTTACCATGAGAATGCCCGTACTATCCTCCATGATCAGAACATATACCGAATTGAAAATGTTAGTCTCCCTTCATCTTGCAGTCACTTATATACATATTCTTTTGTTCGCTACGAATCTGTCGATTCAGGTTCTTTAATCTCAACGATGCATTTGAATCTGAATGCAGTCATCGAGACAAAATTGCCTCTCGATTCAGCTTATGAACGGTGGTCACGATAGGCCTGAAGTTACGGCTGTAACCTTAGAGCCAGGTTTTGCACATTATCTGCAGAATGACTTGCTCTCACTTGTTTCTGAAGAAGAGAAGTCCGGACTATTTCTGAAGAGGTAATAAATAAAGCGTTACAGAATGTATTTTCCATTTCCACTGTGGATGAGTAACATTTACTTGTGGATGCCCTTCACAGGAACAAACAGAAACTAATTGGTAAAGGTGGATCTTCCGGAATTTCTCTGGCAATGGAAGGAGTGAAGATTATTAATGAGATGGAGTGTAGGATAACTTGCAGTTCTTCCAAGGTATGGTTTGTGAACTTATCTCAGTGCTTTATGCTTTTTTTACTTCAATGTATGGTAATAATTTCCGAGTTTTCTTGGGTTACAGATAAGGTATGTACCAGACACGGAAGATCTTATATACAGAGGCAAAAGAAGAAAACCAAACCCGGATGGGACGTGTCTTAAGGAGATGAAGACATCAAGTAACAGTGAAATCACCCGACTGAGAAGAATAGCTCATTTTCACATATTGCTCAACTGCAGAATGCTTGCCTTGCCTTGAAAAAGCCCAAGTACTCGTGCCCTTTAGCTCGTTTTATATCTCCCACGAGAAACCCGAGGCCAAGTGGCAAATAACTCGAGTCTTACGCTCTTAATCCAGAGTACTTCATTCATATGAGATTTTGTTTTTCAGGTTCCCAAGTTTCTGGTGAGATTTTGGCTTATAACACCACACAGAGAGAGGAGAGCAGAAGTCTTGAAGTGCTTCTTGGATCATAATGGCTCAAGAGATTCATAATTATATATATATATATGCATTGGAGCCATTTATTTTGGTGTATAGTTTTAACATTTCTAGTGACAAATACTAAACTCTGGAGATTCCGTAATCCATTCTTTCCACTGTGTGTTCTTGTAATGGATCTCTCTGTGACAAATACTCGCCTTTGCCTTCTTAGTTTCGACCGCAAAAAAACTGCGTTTGCGACGTCGGTTGCGGAGTCGGAGATTCCAAACCCTCTCTTCCATGGAGCAGCTCATTCAGGAGGCAAAATACTGTTTTTTTTAGGAAAAAAAGATTAATTATTTGCTTTGGCTTTTCCTCATCTTCACCAAGACGTCTCTCTCCCTTCCACTCCTTCAACGAAGCAAATATCCAAATTAACCCTTTTACTAAATCTACTTTTACACGTACTCTACTCCAAATGTGATCATTTCATCAGAATAACAATATGGTCATATGATAATCATATTGGTCATAACGTTAAATGTATGGTGTTCACACCAAGCGATTTGTGATATTTAAAGTGTGATCATAATAATTTGATGTGATTGTCATAAATTTAACGTTATAACCAATATAATCACCGTATGACCATATTATAATTATGATTCACGTTGTCACATCTGCAAGATGGTATGTGTGTGCAAAAGCAGTTTTAGTAAAAAGAAAGTATTTTGAATAATACCCTATCAAAGAGCAACAAATTGACCTGGGAAAACTCTGAATCAACAGTGGAGATGGCTCTATCACGCCTCTCATCCCCCATCCAATGGTCTTTATCGTTCGCTCTCCCCCGTGATTGTCCTCCGTTGTCTGATCTCTACGGACACTACTCCGATAACTATTGAGACCTCCCTCACCTTCACCGCTCACATTTGTCACTCGTCATCACGCATTGCGCCGTTGAGACCTCGTCGAAGGAGATTCTCTCCTTCTTCCGCGACATGGCGCTAATGCGGCGGATGAAGAAGATCGCCGCCGACTCAAGGCAAAGCTAATCCAAGGGTTTTACCATCTATACGACGGCAATGAAGTCGTCACCGTCGACATGGAAGCTGCGATCACGAAGAAGGACGCCATCATCACTACGTATCGCGACCACTACACATTCACTGGCCGCGAAGGGGCTCTCCTCGAGGTTTTCGCTTAGCTCACAGGGAGGAGGTGGGTGAATGCACTTCTACAAAAGGACGCGTCGTTTTACGGTGGTCATGGAATCGTCGGAGCTCAGGTTCCTCCTTTGGTATCTCATCTTCTCTTATTTACAGATTCTGGAGATGGACACATATACAAATACAGGTACCATGGTCACTGCATGTCTGATCCTGGCAGCACAAACGTGTACACGAAAGGATTAGGCACCGATGTAAATACCCTTTTGCCTCTTTTTTTTTTTATCCCCCTGTCTTATCCCCGCTGTTAGTGCAATTATTTGCACATGTATTGTTTTGGTTGTTAAGTGGATAATGCAGGTTCAGGAGAGAAATCCGGCGAGATACAACTCGAAATATTTTGAGGTAAATCTAGAGAGTTTGAGTAAAAGTCAAAGACAGATTGAGATGGACTCAATGACAACCACTTGGAGAGATTTTATGAAAAGCAATCTGAAGAGATATAGCCACGAAGTTTGGATTTGACTTGAAGAGATGAAGATAGAATCAAAGCCAAGAATATTTGAGGAGATTTGAGATAAAGATAAGATCTTGGAGATAAGGTCAAAGGCTGAAGAGATAGAGTCAAACAAGAGATAAAGATGAGATCTTGGAGATAAAGAAGAAATCAAAGAGAATCAAGGAAGAGTCTATCAAATCAATTCGTGGAGATCTAAGGCGAACTAGAGGAGCCTATATAAAGGAGAGAGCAAGTGCATATCAGTTCTCACGGAAAGCAAAGCATATTTTACTAAAAGAGTTTTTGTGTTAGTGAGTGAGCACTCACTTTTGAGTGAGTGTGGGTTTGAGAGAGAGACCGATTGGGCAAATCTCTTTTCTCTGGTGAGTGTTTAGGCGTGGATCTGAGGGGGAGACCTAATGGAAAAATCTCCGTTCCTTTGGTGAGCGTTTATGTTTGGTAAGGTTTTTAATCGGTAGAATTCATTGTGAGAGTGGGTTGAAACTCGGGGGGAGTTTCATCTGGGTGTTGAGTAGCTCTAACAAAAAGTGAGTTGTACTTGACTTTTTCTCAAGTGAATAGAACTGGTTAGTTTTTCCGTTTTACTCTTTGAGGGTCCAAACTTTTTCAAAAAGCATTAAGAACAATCCAATAAACTGAATGGAATAAACAAATCCACAAAGTTTGGAATTAAAAACCAAAGATCTCTACATAACAAATCTATGACCTACAACTATGGAACTACTCGCTAAACATAGAGATATCGGGATTCATATCAATACAACAAAACATCGTAAAATAGAAGTAAAGAAGAATGCTTAGTCGATTTCCCGGCTTCATAATCTCCGTCTTCTATTTCGATCTCTTGCCTCTTGATAATCTCCCTCTTTTGTGTGCTCTAGGATGTGTTTTCTATCAAAAGTATGAATGAATCCGACCTTAGAGGCTAACCCTAGTTATTTTCTCTTTCTTTTGGGAAAATTTGGAAGATTTCCGGAATTGAAGTGACCCGATCGTGTCTACACAAGTGACACGATCGTGTCACACCGTAGTTTTGACAGACTTCACGAATTTGCTCATAACTTCCTGCTTCGACATCGGATTTGGGTGATCTTAGCGTATGTGCGTAGGTATCGAAGAGAACTTCCAATGATGTATAGAATGCATGATTTCGACTTGTATAGTGAATGTTATTGTATTTGAAAGATCCGACGTTTTTTAGCTTCACGTTTTCTCCGAAACAACTCAAAATGTTCCCGGTTTGTCCGTGATGTTCCGCAATCCATATTTTCCACTTCTTTTAATCTATTTATGTACGGATTCCTATTTAAACACCAAATAACACAACCGACTAATATCAAAATTAAATATGTCATAGAATGTCTAAAATTATGTAAAACCGAGTGAAACGAGAAGTAAATCATTTGGTACGAAGTACTTTTGACACTGTTAGAAATACTCCAAGAATTAAAGTAGATCTACGAACTTCTCGGAAACAAAAAGAGTACAACGGCTTCTATTACAGGGAAGAGATATATTCGAAGAAATTGTTATTCTCTACGAAGGAAAAAGAACTCTAATTGGTATGTTAATTCGAAATTCAATCATTTTTATTCGTCTCATCTTTTGAGGAATCTTAGATAGATATCTAAGCAAATGACTTGTATTTGGATAGCATATGTTTAATATTATATGATAAGATGTCCGAAACTGTTATTAAATTCTAAAGTAGCACTAACAAGCGGTAATATTTTGGTGATGGAAAACAAGGGAAGATTATAACACAAGAATCAAGTTGAAGTTTCATGCGATAAAAATAAAATGCATGATTTATTTTATAAAAATTGATAAACTCAAATATTTTATTTTATTATTTTCTCTATGAAAAAATATATAAAATATAGACTTATCATGAAACTAAGCCTAGGTAAAACCCATAAAGAATGCCCAAATAATAATAAAAGCCCAATAAACATTAAGCAAAATTCGAAAGTCTCCACAGAGATATCTCACCGCTCTTTTTGATTAATTTTTAATTTATTCCGCAAAAAACTTCACCTCTTTTTCACCCCTTCGACTTCCCGCTGTTTCTTCTCCCCTCACGTCTATCCCTCTCTCCCCCCCCCCCCTCCCTTTT